AGAGGTGCATAGCAATTCCCCCTCCTTGTTTTTTAATTTGAAGGGCATATTGGCAAATAGAAGGAGAGACAGGGAGGGGGGAGAGAAAGAGAGACAGAGAGAGAGAGAGAGAGAGAGAGAGAGAGAGATTAAGCCTGCTATTACCACTGTACCAAGGCCTCTACAATTTTCCCTTTTAAATATGCTATGCATGCATTCTTTCCTTTCCATGACCCTTGGACATTTCCATAATTTAGCTGGCCTCTGGTTATTTTAATCTAAACACCTGTGACCTGCAGGCTTCCACCTTCTGCAGGGCAGGGAGTTATTGAATAACCCTTGAAGCCTTTCTTGGCTCTTACATGGTTGAAAGTAGAACCCAGTGCATTTTTTTTTTAGCAGCTCAGTAAATGCTGCCTCCTCTTTCAGAAAAGCTGGTCTTGCCCTGAATTTTGCCAAACAGAAATGAGGGGGTGTTTATTTGTAGCACAAAAGGTTTTCGTTTGTTTTCTTAAAATAGCCTGCCCTACTACTTTCTTTCAAGTGTTTTAGTTCCTGGGAGATTTGATTTGCACAACTTTCCAGTAACACGCTGTGTGGAGGAATTACCTGTGCCAGAAGTTATTCAGCTTCCTGAAGGCTGTTCCTGGCTGCTGCAGGGGACGCTGGCGAATAATCAAGCCGCTCAGGATATTGAATCCTCAACATGGTTGGGTTAGTTAATGCTTGGGCTAATGGGAAGGATGCCTAAAAAGACCTCCTTCGTGGTAGATGCCCACCTCTGAGTATGAAAGGACCAGCCGGAAGCTGTGTCTGCAATGCAGCTGGCTATGTTGACTTCTTTCTTTAGGAATGCTAATAACTCATTTTTTTTGGTTCATTCATCCACCAGTAGTCATGCTAGACAAGAGGGAGCTAGAGGTGAGTCTTCATCTTCTCGTCATGTAGGTAAGGGAACCGAAACCACAACTGATATTCTGGATCTTTAGAAGAAAGAGCCTGTTCTAAAATAGCTACTTGAAAGGGAAGGAAAGCTTTCCTAAGTAGTCGTGAGCCAAGGAACATATTAAAACCATGATAACTGACCGCTTAGAAACTTGAAGGCATCAATGCACTAAATAAAGAACACAGCATGCAGCCAAAGCTGTCTCTAATGGAAAGGTGTTTAGCCTGAAACTCTATAAAGTTTTAATGAAAAGGTATGGGAACAAGTGACTGTACGGTTAACTTTGGAAAGAACAGTAAAGCATAGCAGCAGACTGGTGGGTTCTCCTGATGTGTGGGCACACATCTGAGCATGGTATTACCCTGTGATAGAAGCGTATTATTATCATCACCGCCACGTTTCATAGAGGAAACTGGCGGTCAGGGTGACCAGCTCATGTGCCCTAGTCTTGTGGAATATTGGATGAGAATCCGCATATGGTCATCGGATTCTAGAACTCTTCTTCCTGACCCATGTGTGATACAAAAACATGAGACCAAAAAATAAAAATGGCAACTTCTTAATGAAGTTGAATAGAATCCATTAGAGTTGATAACTGCATCTGTGGTCTTCTTGATAGAATAACAAAATAATGTGAATAAGAAAAGACCTCTGGAATAAATAAAAAGAAGAATCCGCCAAACACAACAATATGAAGTGCTGTCACAAACGAGACAAGACTGACATCAACCCAAGATGAGATGGTGTAGTTTAGATACATCACAAATGTTTGGAAAAGTTTTGGAAATGAATTCCAAAAGTTGGTTTGAGAAGAGTTGGGTAGCTTTTCTGTAGCTAAAATATAGAGAATGAGGAAGAGAGAAAGCTGGTGGTGTCTTCCCTGAAACTCCTTGTTGTATGGAAATTCTACTTACGGAAATGTGATAAGAACAAAGAGGTGTATTTATGAGAAAAGAGAAATACTGTTTTTGGGGTTTTTTTTGAGGCTGATTTTGTTCCTGAGGTTCTCCATCCATGAAATTCAGCCAAAGCAACAGAAAACCCATAAAATTCTGTTGAGTTTTGAAAATGCTTACAAAAACAAGTACACATAATAGTTACTGCTTTCTATTTGTAAACCGTGAGTAGTTGGAAAGTTGTGGGAAAATGCCAAGTATCAGTCACATGCAAATGGAGTCCCTCAGATGTGATTAAATAAAAAATGTGTAGAACCTGTATGAAGAAAATGATTCCATCAGGAGATATAGGAGAAGGTTTTAATAAAGGCACAGTCAATTGCTGATGAAAAGACTCATGGTTGTGAAAGTAGCAATAATTCTGAATTTGTGATATTTTTTGGAAGGCAAGAATTGACTAAACACAATTCTGATGGAAATTCTATTGGTATTTTAAAAGTCTTCTGTAAACTGATTTTGAAGTTCACTTGGAAGAATAAACATATGGTAATAGCCAAAAAAATGTTGAAAATAAGGATAATGAGAGAGCATATTATAAAGTCACTATAATTAAAACCCCCATTGCCATTCTACGAGGCAGCTCAGGGGAACAGTGCAGAAGGCCTAAAGACAAGACCCCAGTGTATGTAATTATTGAACATGTAATAAAGTTGGCGCTTGAAATCAGTGGGGAAGGGATGGATTATTCAGTGAAAAATGCTGGGACAATTGGCTACCTATTTGGAAAAAAAAAAAGTGGCAAGTGGAATTTCCCCATTTCACCTATGATTTCAAGCATTTACAGAAGGGTTAGAGACTTTCAAGTGAAAATGATGGGGCTGGCGCGGTGGCAGGGCAGGTTGAGCTCCCACATTCCCAAATGGCAGTGCCTGGGAGTGAGTCATGCCACTGTTTGAAATCCAGTGCTTTGGTAATGTGACCCTGAGAGGCAGCAGATGGTGACTGAAGTACTGGGGTCCCTGAAACCCAGGGTGGGACACCTAGCTGGAATTCTGGGCTCCCGGCTTGACTCTGATCCATCCGTGGCTAGTGTAGGCATTTGAGGGATGAACTAGAGGGTAGAAGATCTCCTATTTTCTTTTCTCTTTCATTCTGCCTTTCAAAAATGTAAATGAATAGAACTTTCAGGAAGTGTGGGAATGACACCGCGTAAAACATCGATACTAATATTTTTATAAGCTTGGGGCACGAGGGAGACTTTTTGAAGTGTAACTGGATTAAGTTTTCTTTGTCCGGTTTTCTTCTTGGAGTGGTTTGAAAGTTACATATAGCACTTTATTCTTAGCTATATTCTTAATCATGAAAGCATACTTTTGAACTTCAAGTGTTCTAGCTGCAGTTTTCAGGAGCTGTAGTCTCTTAAGGAAATAGGATCCCGGACATTTCAATTTTTATTCTCCCTCTCCTTCTATTGCTTACAACTTGGCTTCTCCCTGTCTCTCTCTCTCTCTCTGCTTCTGATTCTTACCTATATAGCATGGAAGTTTTCAAACTAATAAAAGTAGAATAGTATAGCAAGCCTTTATGTGTCACCATGGCTTGCTATACTATTCTATTTTTATTACTGATGACCCACTGTGATCCATTGTTTTCACTCTATAACCATCCCCAGCATATCAAAAGTATTTTTAATTGAAATGTTTTAGTCATAAACATCTTAAAAGTATACCCTCAAAGACAATAATTCTATAATAGAAATAAGCACAGTACTCTTCCTCACCAAAGCGTTTTCATTCCCTAATTGCAATACAAACTCTTTCCTATGAGCGTCAGAAAGTCATTGAGTGTATTTGTCTCTCCGATTGCCTCATAATTTCTTTAAACTATTGATTTATGCAAATCAGGATCCAAGCATTTAGTTACTATTTTCTTGAGTCTCTTTGAGTGTGTGTTTTTTCCTCATTTTCTCCCTCCGTTTCTATCCCTTCTTGCAGTTGATTTTTGCAGAAGCTATAAGTGTTGTTTTCCTCTCTCTCTGTTTGGGAGGAGCAGTAGGTGTTGTTGATTGCCTTTTTATGGCGTCCCTTAATATGTTCCTCTGTCAGTTATACTGTCTGCAAATTTGTGGCTGCATTGAGATAACTGTTCCGATTCAGTTTGAATGCTTGGCAGGAGTACATCCTAGGTAGAGGTGCGAGCCCTGCGAGGCAGGCGGGAGGTATCGTTCCGTGATGTTAGCAGCTGCTGCTGCTGGTTGCCTACATTGAATCACCAGAGGTAGCCTTAAGGTTTCCTCTTCTATTTACTTATGGATCACATACTTCAGAAAGGTTCGGAGTGGTGGTCTTATAAGGTAGTGCCATACCCCAAAAAATCCAGTGTAGCGGTGGTAGAAACCTATTAGAACAGCAGAACTGTAATACAGAATGTGAACGCAAAAACCCGGTTGTATGTATGCTCTGCCTAACCCTGTCCCCACGTAGTGGAGTCACGTCACAGCTTTGTTGAACTCATGCAGATTCACCAGTAGGTCTGTGAGGGTACTTCGAAAAAAGTTTCTGGGAAATGGAACTAAAAGGCAAACATGTTTTGGTTCCGAATTCCTGAGATGCATGCCTAATTTTTCATAATAGGTATGGGAGGAAGACCCATTGTGTCCTTGGCTGTAGGCTGTGAAGGTCACCGTGTGAACATGGCAGCCTGTGCCCTGCACTTGTCCCCTGCCCTCTTGCGTGGCTTTGCTTTTGATCAGACAGGGACACAGGTGTCTGCTGTGCCTGCTCTGTCATGGATCCCTCGCTACACGTGATGCTAGTATTTAAAGATACATAGTTTCTGTGCGTTGAGAACCTAAACATAAGCCTACTGTTTCATCTGGTGCCTGATCTAAGAAATGACATTTTGTTCCCAAACTAACAGAAAAACCAGGCACTGGAGCCTTGGAGCATATGTGAGCTTCTGAACTCTAACTTGAGAAGTTTGCCTCCTGTGTGAGATACAACACTTATGTACTCGGGACTCTGGAAAATGTGGAGCAGGAGCTGGCATTGCAGTGTGTTTCGGAATGATGTCTTTATCTTTGCTGAAGTCCATGTTTAACCATCTGTTCTTCCTTTTCTCTCCATCCCTTCCCTCCACCTTCCTCCCTCCCCTCCGCCTTCCCTGGTTTTCTCTTGCAGTTTGCTGCTTTGTAGTGCACAAGCGGTGCCATGAGTTTGTCACGTTCTCCTGCCCTGGTGCTGACAAGGGCCCAGCCTCAGATGTAAGTAATGGATGCCGGCTTCTCTCTCTCTCTCTCTCGCTCTCTCTCTCTCCATAATCCTGTTGTTCTTTTGGGGTAAATGTGAGTGAGCACCCCAGATACGTCATTGAGGGTGTTGTCATTCCAAGGTCCCTTTAGTGGGGTGGGGGACGGGACTCATGTTTTGACAGTAATCCAGCCAGTTCTCTCACTGCCTTTTTGCTAAATATCTTTACCTTTGTAGTCCAGGCCTGGAGAGTGATGGGCAGGGACTTCATGCTATTGTGAAAAAGGTGTGTGTAGGTAAAATGGGCAAGTAATTTTTATTTTAATAATTCACAACTTATTCAGTGTGAATCAGAAAAACATATTTTATAGTGGCTTTGCATTTGTGTTGGAATGTAAAGTTTCCTACCTATGTAAATGTATTGATATGAAACAAAATAATTGATTTGAGGAGAATATTTAGGCAGTGATGGTGTGGGCACTATGAATATGTGACAACAGTGTTGGCACAAATGGGTTTCAACTTGGAATCCATTGTTGATTTCCTACCGTACAGTCCTTCCTAGCCTCCCACACCCCAGCCTAGTCTTAAGTTGAAAACTAGAAATGCCTGGTACTTGCTTTCCTTGGGTCCCTCCCAGCTAGTGAGTGAGTATGGCACCCAATTCTGCTCAGTAGTACTTGAGGGAAAGACTGGGCAGGGCTTCTAGGGAGGGTTCTAGGAAGGGCGCTTTTCCAGTTGACTTGTGGGTTAGGGTTAGGGTTAGGGTTAGGGTTAGGGTTAGGGTTAGGGTTCCGTGTGTGAGGACATAATGCTTGGGGTTGTGGCAGCCTTTTTGGGTCAGTGAGGAAGACACTGCTGACAGCCTAAATATGACAAAAAAAAAAGGAGAGTTGAGGGGATGTGGGTCATTGATTACCCCAAGGAGCCATGGAGCAAGCTCTGAATTGACAGGATCCCCTGTAAATGGGATTCTCACAGGAAGCTCTTCTTGGTAAGACCTTGATGTGTAGTGTTTTCACAGGCAGTTGAAGCTGTCCTACCTAATGGGGCTGTCCTCAGTGTCTCCTCCCCACCCTCCAGTGCCCAGTAACAGACCTCATCAAACACACTCCACAAGGAAGCATCACCCCAACAGCTTTCTGGAACTTCCCCCGTAGCTTTGTCTCCATGACTAGTCCGAATGCCTACGTAGACCTGACCGCTGACCTCAGCCTGCCCATGGTCAGTGATGTCTACCTCTGGCACTGAATTTATTCAACTCCTGCTGACCTGCTGCTGCTGGTGGTCATCTGCTATTTGGCTACAAATCAGGAGGCTCTGCTGTTACCATAGCAACGGGAGCTCTCCAGGCTTGTGCCTTGTATACTTGGCTTGGAAGATGTGGGGTTGAGAACTCCGAGAAGCATGGAACAGCCCAAGCCCTTGCGGGTCTCTGTTTGCAGAGACAAAGCCCGGCATCTTTTGGCATGTCCTTTTGGATCTTCCTCTCTGACCCTCTTGAGTGTGATTCTTTCTGTCATTCACAGGAAGAGATGACAGGAATTCCTTCAAAGGAATTCCAGCAGGGACTGCCCCACTCCATCCTGCAGGTTAGAATGGTCACACAATTTCAGATCTGATGCCTGAATTGTAGCCGGAAGGATGTCATTTCCCATTTTCTAATCTGCATCTGTTGAATGTTCCTATGTTCAGAGACAGAGGTTCCGCTCTAGTTAGCTTAGATGAAAAGGGAAAGTTTTGGTTCCTGAAACTGACAAGCCCTTGGGGCTTGTGATACCAGCATTTAAGTGGGGTTTCTGGGAATCTCTCTAGGTCTTGGCCTGGTCTCGGATGATTTTTCGGTTGTGGGAATGCTTTTCTCCTGTGTGGGAGTGTGATGGGCATGGCACCTTCACCCTCACACCTGGCCTGCAGTGCAGCCTTGTGCTAAGAGCTGAATTTCCGTTGGACTGAGAGTCAGAAAGATGGGTAAGGCTGGTTGGTCAGGTCCAGGGGTGTGCTGTCACACACTCAGTGTTTTGTGTCCCTGTCCCTAACTGCAAGGGGACCTTGGGAAGGTCATCATATCCTGAGGGAGGAGACCTCAAGACAGGAACGGATGAGGTCTCGCTCATCCTTTCACTGTGTGATGCTACGAGAAGACAGGTGTCAATGAGGCAATGGATGCTTATTGGACGCTGACGTGGCCAGGGCCTTAATCCTGGACTCTCGAGCCTCTAGAACCATGAGAAATAAATGCCTTTTATTTCAGAGTCACCTGCTTTGCAGTAACTTGTTACAACAGCCTACATGAAACATAACCAAAACTTTTTGTACTAATAATGGTCCTGCCAGAACAGAATTTTATTTTTAGAAATTTATCTATTTGAAGACAGAGAGAGAGAGAGATACCCAGAATTTTATCCATATTTCCCCCATCAGTGGCAAACACCCAAGTATTTAGGTGATATTTTGCTCCTATCCAAGACACGTTAGCAGGGATCAGAAGTGGAGTGGTTGGGACTTCAGTCAGGGCTCCTATGGGATGCTGACATAGCAGACCTGTATAGGCTGTACCATACTCCAGCTGGGAGCAGCACAATTTTAAGGAAGGATTTCTCGGATCAGCTGTCATCTGATTGAACTGAGAGAGGCTGCTGACTCTGTAAATTCTAGAAGTAAAGAGAGGCGTGAAGAGCGAACGGTTTACAGAGACAATGTATGCACAAGGAGCTAAGTTACTAAGTATTTTTTTCCTTTTTAAAAAAATTTTTAAAGTCAAATTGAGCATTCATTGCACAATGCATTTGAAATTTTTTTTAAAAATTAAAAAAATTTTTTTGAAAATATTTATTCAGTTGTTTTTGAGGGGCGCATTTATAGAGAGGAGAGGCAGAGAGAGAAAGACCTTCCATCTGCTGGTTCACTCCTCAAATGGCTACAATCTTCAGAGCTAAGCAAATCCAAAGCCAGGAGCCAGGAGCTCCTTCTGGGTCTCCTGCACAGGTACAGGAGCCCAAGGATTTGAGCCATCTTCCTCTGCTTTCCCAAGCCATAATACAGAACTGAATGGGAAGTGGAGCAGCAGGAACTTGAACCTTATGGGAACCTGGTGTTGCAGTTGAGGCCCCTGTGTGTGTTATTTTGAAGCCATTTTGGACAAATAAGGAATGTAATACTGTTGTTTGCTCCCAGTGTTGCTGTACAAAGGGATGAAAAGAATGGGTATGCTTCAGGACTCAAACGCCCAGGTCAGGTGTTGCAGGTATAGTCTGAACTGGGTGTGCCCTGGAGGAGAGCCTTCTAGCATGTAGCCACAAGCAGGGGGCCGAATTAACATGCAAGTTGAGCTCCCAACATCATAGGGAATCTTCTGTTAATGCCAGAGCACTGGTTGGGAAAGAACAGGATCCTGGAAGAATGGGGCCTTCACTCCTGATGAAGACCCCCATAAATCTGGGATCACGGAATCCTTACCATGGACCCTCTGTGCCAGTACAAGGGGCTTCTTCCTAACCCTAGAGAAATTGGCCTCCTGCCCTCTAGCAAAAGTAGAATAGCCACCCACAATGGCGGAGGCAGGTGGGCGGTGGCTGCTTCTCTCATCTGAGTGCATGAACCCCGGACTGCCAGGGACACAGAAATGGCTTGCCTGGAGCAGCCGCTATGCAAGACAGTGCTGAATTCCCTCAAGATCCACACTCACCACTTCTTTCGGCTTCAAGACTTCTCATTAGATTGAAGTCCCAGTAAGCTCGCAAAGATGGGGTACGAAGTATGTCCCACGAGGAGGTGCAGTTCACACCAAAAGAACATTGATGCTTGGGTCTTCCAGCTTATAGAAGCAGCACATGTGCAGGAAGGGATATGACAGAGGTGGCACCATGGTAGAAGGAATAGAGGTTGGGTTAGACCGAATTTGTTGCCTGTTATAGAGAGACCGTGGCCACCCTGTTTTAGTTTGGGGAATGATAAAGGGCTCTAAAGCTATGGTTGGCTGGCTGACTATTGAAATTTACACCATTACTTATTTTCCTAGCTTCCTCACAGGGCTCTGGCCTTTTACCCAAAGAAAAAGAAATGACCAGAGCTCTTGAGGACCGCAGGGGACTAGCTCTGAATGGATGCTGATTCTGGGAGATCCAAGATGTCGCTGTGACTCTGCAGTCAGGAATAGGGGCTTACAGAGGGCATGTGCCCAATGGAGTTTTTTTAAAAAAGAAATTTTAAATTTTTATTGGAAAGTCAGATATACACAGAGGAGGAGAGACAGAGAGAAAGACCTTCCGTCTGCTGATTCACTCCCCAAGTGGCTGAGTTGATCTGAAGCCAGGAGCCAGGAGTTACTTCTGGGTCTCCCACAGGGGTGCAGGATCCTGAGACTGCTTTCCCAGGCCATAAGCAGGGAGTTGGATGAGAAGTGGGACCACCAGGATATGAACCAGTACTCATATGGGACCCTGGTGCCTGTAAGACAAGGATTTATCCACTAGGCTACCACTCTGGGCTCCAATGGAGTTTGAACTCAATCTGTCTCATGGTGAGTCCAGTAGGTCCCCAATCCCATCCTGCAGTTACTTGTCCAGTTTCAGGATGGATTATTGGAGTAGATGGCCTGAACAGCTGGAAGAATCCCCACACTGTTTCTTTGACCTGTGGAGTGGAGGGATATCTGGGTGAGAAAGAAAAAGTTGGAAGCCATTAGGACCATGTCCATGTAGGAGACAGGGAAGCATAAAGGATGCAGCATCCTTGGAGGGACCACACGGATTGCATCCGCCATCAAGGACTGAAGGATGAGGAGAGAGTGACTCCCACCGCATCCCCCTTCTCCTCTCCCGTTTAGCTTGTGTGAAAGACATATGGATTTTGGATTAGGACAGTGGATTACCATAAGCTTAACTAAATGGTGAATCAGCTGTCCCAAATATAATTGCTTGAGCGAATGAATACATCCCCCGGTACCTGGTATTAGCTGTTGATGATAGCAATTGCCTTTCTCCCCCTGCCTTGCCCCATTTTACTCACTAAGCCACCAGGAAAAGCTGCTTTCAACTGACAAGGCGAGCAGCAGGTCTTGACTGTCCTACTTCACGGGTGAATCGACTCCCTAGGTCGGTGTCATGCTTTAATTCGTAGGAGGCATGATCACCTTCTTCCCCAAGTTCGTAGTGTGTCAGGCCGATAAAATCACACTGACGGGTCCTCGTGAGCAGGAAGCAACAACCACGTGAGACTTACTGGTGAGAAACTTGGTCAGTGTGTGGAGAATAAAGGCAGCTGAAATGCAGGGCACATGGGGCCGGCACCGTTGTGTATTAGGCCGAGCCTCTGCCCGCAGATCTCGCATCCCATATACAGCCTCTGATTTGAGTTCCTGTGGCTCCACTTTCAGCCCAGCACCATGCTAATGCCCTGGAAGGCAACAGAGAAGGCCTGAGTCCTTGGGCCTCTGGACCCGCATGGGAGACCAGTAAGAAGTTCCTGGCTCCCAGCTTTGGTCTGGTCCAGGTCTGGCTGTTGCAATCATTTGGGAAGTGAACCAGCAGGTGGGAGATGTCTCTCTCCCTCTCTCTCTGTAACTCTGCTTTCAAATAAAAAAATAAATCTTTAAAACAAAAATCCAGGGAACTTGTACTTCAATGGAATTTCTAGGGTCAGTGGTGTGGGGCATGTTGAAATAGCCTTTTATGGTACAAGGACAAGTTTCTTCCCACTAGTCCTTCCAACCACCAAGCAAAGAGGCACAATGCCTGATGTTGTATTATCCTGTTGGCTGGTTAATATGTTGGGTGTATTATCCTGTCTCACTTATCAAGTGACCTGAAAAGCTGCTGGTTTCGAGCATGCCCAGAGCAACAGAAGACTCTGCAGTAGATCCAAGCTGCTGTGTAAACTGTGCTGCCTCCTGGGACACAGAACCCGTCAGATGTGGTGGTGCCTGAAGCGTCAGCGGGCGGCAAGGAGCTCTTCGGGAGCCATGGTCAGGCTTCCATACGCAGGTCGCAGTTCCTGCCTTTAGTATGTTGGAGTAAGGCTCTTTGTCCATCTGCAAATTTATTCTGCTTTCTTTCTTTTTAAAGATTTATTCATTTAGCTGAGAGGGAGAGAGGGTCTTTTATCTACTAGTTAACTCCTCAGGCTGGCTGCAACAGCTTGGACTGGATCAGGCTGAAGCCCCAAGTCAGGACTTGGATTTCCCATGTGAGTGGCAGGAACGGAATTTCTGGGTCATCCTTTGCTGCTTGCTGGATGCGTTAGCAGGAGGCTGACTCAGAAGTGGAAGAGCAAGAATTTGAAACAGGGGATGAAGGCATCCCAAGCAGCTCAGCCTGCACCACAGCACCCAGTCCAGGTTAGTCTCCTTTTTCAAGGGATAGCTGTTGGCCTGTTCCTGGTCCTTAGTGGAAACTGAGCTGTGGAACGGGGACTATCAAATCGTCATGTGATCCAAGGCATCCATGATGAACTAGTAAGCAGAAAGCCGTGTGTGGTCAACGCAGTCATGGTCATTTGGAAGTGGCGTCTATGTGATCAGTCCAAGCTAGAATAACTAGCCCACATGCCCATGACCCTCACTCTTGCTATGCC